TTTTAAACTTTTTTTATTTTGAAAGTTTATTGGATAGTTTTTGATACATATCTTTAGCGCTAAAATATAACTCCATCACCAAAAAAATAACAACAACAACAACAACAACAACAACAACAATTAAGATATTAATAAGAATTTTTAGTAAAAAGAAATAGGAAAAAAGTATAATCAATAATCACTCTTTTTGAATTTTAAGATAGATAATAAAATAAAAAAAGCAACTAAAAGAAATAAGCTATAAATTGTAGAAGTATAAACATGTTTAAGTATTTTGAACTTTATCACTATCTTCGACATCAATTTGATTTAAGTGGAAATTAATTGTATTATCTTTTTTATTGATTAATAGATTTAATTCCCATTTTAAATTAATTTGAATAATTTGAATGAATTAAATTAACTGAATTGAATAAACAAAATTGAACAAAAAAAATTAAATTAAAAAAAAATATTTTATATTAAAATTAAATTAATAAAATTTAAATTTAATAATTTAAATAAAATAAATTTTATAAAATAAAATAAAATAAAATAAAATAAAATAAAATAAAATAATCAAAATAAAAAAAATAAAATAAAATAAATTTAAATAAAAAAAAAAAAAAAAAAATATAAAATAAAATAAAATAAAAAAAATAATATAAAAATTATAAATTATATTTTAACCGAAAGACAGTGTCAAAAATTAATACGAATTAAAATTTTCAACTATTTAACCACTGTCATATTTAAAAATATTAAAATTATTAAATTATTTTTTTTTGCATAAAGAAAAAAAAATACTTATTTTAAATTCATAATATTTTTTATACTGACTTTACTGTAATATTTATTTTTATAATAATCTTATTTTAAATAATTTTAATATTTAAAATTTTATCCACTTTTACAAAAATTAAAAAAATCTACCAACTGTATCTTCAAGTAAGTTTTTATAATTTTATTTATATTTTATATTTTTTTAAAATAGATTTGATATTAATTAAAATAATATTTTAATAAAAGACACTACTACATCTAAACTCAATACAGTTAAACTTGGGGAAGAGAAAATACCAATAATTTTTTTCAAATGAAATGCACAATTAAAAATTGTTCTTGTTATAGAGATGAATTTAAAAATAATATATGTGCCAATTGTAACCATAATTTAAAATATCATACAAACAAATATGATGATAATGATGAACCATCCCCAACACAACCACAAAAAAAACAAAAAAAAAAACAAAGTTCACCTCCAATATTAAAAAAGAAAAAAAACTCTCCACCATCTTCGCCATCATCTTCAATTTCATCACCATCATTATTTAATTATGATAATTCTAATTCTGACTATGATTCCGATTCTGACTATAATTCTGATTCCGACTATGTTTCTGATTCCGACTATGGTTCTGATTCCGACTCATCATCATCATCATCATCATCATCATCATCATCATCATCATCATCATCATCATCATCACCATCATCATCATCATCATCATCATCATCACCATCATCATCACCATCATTTTCACCATCATCATTATTATCATCATTATCATTATCAAAAGATAAAGAATATAAATTATTTCTTGAATTAAAAACAAAGTATGATAAACAATTAAAATCACAAAAATGTACTAAACCAGATTGTTTTAAAAAATTTCACTGTTATGAAAGTCATTCCAATGGTTTACCATCATGTCATTTAACCATTTCTGCTTTAAGATCTCATAAATATAGCTACCATAACAAAGATGAATTTAAATTTAAATGTTTCAAATGTAAAACAAAATTCAAATCTGTTAATAAACTTTATAAACATCAAAATCAACCTGGTGATCTCTTTAATTGTGAAACTCTAAGTATTAATTATAGTTCAATTGTTGTTGCTGGTGACAACAATAGTACTATTAGCCCTTCTGATAAGACTCCAAAGTTACCATTTACAATAGAATCAAATTTCAATTCAATTTCAATAAAGCACCCTAAAAACAAAAAAATCAAAAATTGCCCAAATAAATTCTGTGTGCATCCTGCATGTAAAAATGCTATTACTTCACCAATCGAACCTGTCAACTATTCAATAGATAATCAAAGATTGGGAAGTTTGGTTTCTCCAAAATATAATTTAATTGAACCAAAAAAGAAATTACTTGATAGACTAAGAAGAAGAGGAAGTTATATAACAAAAGAAGATTTTATATCATCTAAAAAGCAACAACATTATTTTAAAGGTTATATTACAAAGATTGGTTTTGTTATTATTAATTTATATATTAATGATCAACTAAATGGAAATGTTTTACCAGAATTTGCTTCCCATACAACTCAAAAAGCTCAAATTAAAGATACAACTGTTGTTGGACACTCTCAAGATATAAAGTTTTTTACTGAATTTATATCTTCTCAACTATTGGCTAATTATAATGAAAAAAACTCTAGCAAACCAGAGTTATTTGATATTGTCGCTTGCTTTATTAATGTTTCATCATATGAATTAGCAATTCAATATCATAAAATGAAAAAAAACTGTGCAAAAACTGTAAAATCAAAAGCAAACTCCTATCATAGATTCTTAATTTGGCTAAAAGAAAGTTTAAAGTATCTTAATCAAAAAGAATTAACTCTGGTTGAGCCTAATCAATATTCATTGGAGATGATAGATAAATCAATTAAATTTTTGAATTTAGTAAAAAAAACTTTATATCCTGATGAAGTGGTTCAATCAAAATATGCAAATTCAATAGAATCTTTAATTACTAAAAACAAATGGTTAACTCTAGAACAAATAGTACTTAAAAAAAAAATTTTACAATCTAAATTTGATGAATATATTGAAATTGCTGCTGATTCTTCTTCTTCTGCTGCTGCTGCTGCTGCTTCAAATAGTAATTTCCACTACCAAAGAAGAAAAGCTGCTTTTCAAGCAGAAGCATTATTATTGTTGATTATAAATACTGATATTAATCCACAACGTCCACAATGTTTCTATCTCTCAGTGGTTCCAAGAACTTTACTGCTTAATGCTGATAATAAATTTAATTACATTGTTATCCCACCACATGTACTTTCAACTTTTAAAAAGAATTATCCAGAATTGTCAGATGATCACCATAAACAAATTTTAACTATTTATAACATTTATAAAACTGGAAGAACATTTGGTAAACAAACTTGGAACTTTCCCAAATCTACTTGTATAAATATTTTGAAATTTTTACTTTATGCAAGACCACTTTTATACTTATCAAATCATCACCGATCTAAAGAAATTCCTGCTGCAAATAACTTACCCACTGTTGTTCAACAAGTTATTAATGATATCAATATAATTAAAAGTCCTAAACTTAGAGATGTTTATAACCCAAACTTAAGGTTAATTTTAACATTTTCAAGTGGAAAAAATCTTAGCGAATCAAAAATAGGAGCTTTATTTATAAGAACTTTTGAAAAATATTATAGAAAAAGTATAAATTGTGCCACTTTAAGAAAAATTGTATCTACATACAAAAGAGATTATGGTCTATCAATGATCGACATTAATAAGCTTAGTGAAGCACAACTTCATACTATAAGAACTGATGATACTTATTACAACCAAAGGAATTCAACTAAAGAACATACATCAGCAAATGAAATTTTACAAAAGATTCATCAACAAATTTTTCAAAACAATCCCAATAAAATTTTAGAAGAATATGATAATAATGATGAAGATGAATTTGATGAAGATGAATTTGATGAAGATGAATTTGACGAAAAAGAAAAAAATGAAGAAGAGGAGGAAGAAGAGGAAGAAGATGATGATAAAGAAGATGAAGAAGATGAAGATGAAGATGAAGATGAAGAAGAAGAAGAAGAAGAAGAAGAAGAAGAAAGAGAAGAAAGAGAAGAAAAAAAAAGAAAAAAAAAAAGAAGATATATTGATAGTAATAGTGATTAAATTTAATATTTTTAAAATTTTAAAAATAATAAAAATTGTTTAAATAAAAAATTATCAATATTCATCCCAAATCAATAGTCTACTCTAAAGTTTCACAATACCTAAAAAACACTATAACTTTAATCATCATTATCATTATCATCATCATCATCATCATCATCATCATTATCATCATAATCATAATCAAAATATAATATTCAAATAAAATTAATTATTTTTCATTTTTTTTAATTTTAAATTCAAAAATATTTTATTATAATAATAAAATTATATTTAATATTTAATTATTATTATTATTATTATTATTATAAATACGATTAGTTTAGATTGTTTAAATATTTAATAAACTATGAAAAAATACAAAAAAATAATAAACATCATAATAATCATCAGGAAGATAATAAAATTAAAAAGAAAGAAAAAAATTAAATTTTTATCATCAGGAAGATATTAAATTTAAAAAAAATAATGATAAATTTAAAGTTAATTAATTAATTAATCATCTCATCATTATTATTATTATCATTATCAGGAAGATTTTAGTTAAAAAAAAAAAAAAAAAAAAAAATGATAAATTATCATCTTCAGGAAGATATTTATCATCGAAATTTCCATGAAATTTCGCTTTTGATTTTTAAATATACACCATTTTACTAAAATTTTAAAATTAAATTTGTCTATAGTTCGCTTTCAGCTCACTATAGAATCCATGCGCATATATTTAACTATAGTTCGCGTTCCGCTCACTATAGAAGTGGTGTAAGGGTGGTGTTTAAAAATAAAATTCTTCTTCTTCTTCTTCAAAATTCAACTACAGCTCGCTTAAAGCTCGCTATAGTATATATACACACACACAAAATATATAAAAATCACTAAAGCTAGTAAAAGTGACAAATAGGAGTTCTCCTAAATTTTCCTTATAAAATATCAATTTTTCAATTGATTTAAATCTATCGAAATTTCATCGAAATTTCACTAAAATTTCACAAATATCCGATCAAACTACACAAAATCACCACTACTACTACCCTCTCAAAATCAAATAAACAACAACATACTATTCTCCTCATTTTAAAACCAAACCTCACCCCCCCCCTTCTCTCTAACTATTTGTCTTCGCAATCTAAAGGAATAAGTATAAAAACCAATTTTTATTAACAATTTACATTTAGAGATTCTAATTTAATGGTTTTAACCTGATGCCGGACTCATTTTACAAATTTGAAAAATTTGATATTTTTTAAATTAATATGAAATTTCATGGAAATTTCATATATTTTTAATTGTTTTTTTAAAAATTCTTTATTTTAACTATAGATGTAATATGTATAGCTAGAAAAGAAATTTAAATGTAATAATGAGTTGAATTTTAAATAACAAGCTATATATTATAAAATCTCATTTTTTATATAGTGATAAAAAGGAGTATAACTCCCTAATGTCACGCTTTAAAGACAAATAAGATCTCAAATGAACCTTTCAAAAACTTGCATTTCAAAAATAATAAGACCAAATAAGGAAAGAAATGTTCCATTTAAACAGTTTTAATAAAACAACCAAAAATACAACACTTTAAAATTGTCTTAAATTTTATATTATATAATTGAATATGGTTGCTAAACTTTTAATGAATGGGGTATAAAAAGATATTTCAAAATATATCAAGACCTAATAATGTGATGTCAAAGTAAACTTATTTGAATTAAAAAATAAATTATAGAATCACCATTTGAATCTCTTCCAGTTAGTATGAATGAACTAGTTTAAAGTATGTAGTGTATAATAGGAAAAAGGTAATTTTTGCTGATGAAACTCGAATAAAACGATATGAAGAATTTTATTTATGAAGAACTTATTAATTTTTGTTATGTTTTAAATTATAAATGAAACTATATCGATTCATATAAACAGATTTCTTATAAACTAAAACCCTCACGCACTTCAAAGCTATGCTGAATTTTCTAAGGGTATATAAAAAAAAATATTTTAAATTTAAATCCGAATAATGAACAAAATGTAAAACAATAGTCCATTTAATTACATAGCTGATTACGAAGTAATAAAGATTTTTTTTAAAGAAAAAAATGATTATTAAAAAGGGTTAAATTTTAAAAGAAATTAAATTATGATCTTTTTTTGGCAAAAGTGTGGAAAAAATAATGATGGGAATTTAAATTATAAAAAAAATAAAATAAAATAAAAAAAAATAAAATTGGAAATAAAAATAAAAATAAAAATTAAATTTAAAATAAAAAAAATAAAAAAAAAATAAAAAAAAATTAAAAAAAATTAAAAAAAAATAAAATTAAAAATAAAAAAAAATTAAAAAAAAATTAAAAAAAAATTAAAAAAAATTAAAAAAAAAAAATTTAAGTTTTTTAATTTTTTAATTTTTTTTTTTTCGTTTCAATTCTTATATACCGCACAATCGCACTAAGAAA